AACATTAAAATCCATCGCTTACACTAAATATGCAAGTCTAATATAATCTAAAGATAATATGTAATTTACGGTAAGCCAAACACTAGAATTCGAATGATGAGCTTCAAAGATTTGCCTATGATAGTATGTAATTCTTTTAATCGTCTTTGTATAAATATTATATACATGACAAGATCATTGAATTTTATCGAAAGTAATGAAATAATCTATTTTCAATAATAGTTAAATCTACATTGAAGAATAAATAGATCTAAAAATTAATTTCTTAAATCAATGAATAAAAAGAATATTTTATTTTTGCTTTAGCCGATCGTTCGACAATTTTGATATCATCAAAAGATCCAAAAGAACCCAAAGATGAAAATCACCCAATTGATGAATCACTTCGTGCTAATGTTCGATTACTTGGTCATAGTCTAGGACGAACTATAGCACATGATTTAGGTGAAAATTTTCTTGAACAAATTGAAACTATACGTCATTATGCTAAACTTCAAGATGATGGTACACAATTAGATCAATATTTACATAAACTTCCAGACAATCATCTATTACCTGTTGCACGTGCTTTTAATCAATTTCTTCAATTAGCTAATATAGCTGAACAACATTATCGAGTTTGTTCAAAACGTATTGATGATGATAGTCGTAGTACATTTCATCATATGAATCTTACTGATTTATATAAACGTATCGAAAAAGAATATAAAAATGCAAGTCAATTATTATTTGATACATTTACAAAAATGAAGATTGAATTAGTATTAACAGCACATCCAACAGAAATTATACGACGAACATTAATACAAAAATATGATTCAATTGAAGAATGTTTAGGATTATTAGACATGTTAGATCCAGAAGCTGAAGAAAAATATATTTCTGAAACAGCACATCGAACAAAAGAACGTCTTCGAGAATTAATTAGTCAAGCATGGCATACAAATGAATTTCGACATGAACGACCATCACCTATTGATGGTAAGTTTAGCTTTAAAGAAAATATTTTTTTTTACGAATTGAATTTCAAGAAATGATATCATGCTGTCAACATACATGAGTAATAAATTGTATTTAATTAATAATATCGAACTGAGAATTTGTTAATTAACTTCAAGAAGGTCAGAACAAAGAAGGAAAAGTTGATTCTATGACATTAGAATCTCCATGAAGTCATTGAACCAGCTTTTCTTCCTTGAATCAGAGTGATTAGTTTCCTTTTGTATCTATTAAGAAACTGGAAGTATTACTTTATATTAATTGTAGAAGCAAAATCAGGCTTTGCTGTTGTTGAAAATTCTCTTTGGGAAGCTGTACCAACATTTTTTCGTGATCTCGATGAACTGCTTCTTAATACAGCTGGTCAACGTTTACCATTACATGTTGCACCTATTCGATTTGCATCATGGATGGGCGGTGATCGAGATGTAAGTTTCATTCCTTTTGTATAAACTTATGAAGACATTGTTTGAATCATTTTTAATTAAATAAGAACTTTGTTCATTATTAATTGTATTATATAGGGTAATCCAAATGTAACAGCTGCAGTAACTATAGAAGTATTATTACTTGCTCGTTGGCAAGCAGCTGAACTTTATATTTCTAATTTGGAAAAACTCAAGGATGAATTATCGATGACAAAAGCATCGTAAGTTAGATTTTATGAAAAGAAAAAAAAAACAACATAGTTGATGTTTTCATTTTATAGAAATGAATTATTAAATTTAATTGGTGATAAAAATGCGAAAGAACCATATCGTGTTCTCTTAAAACATTTAATACGTCAAGTTCGAACAACACGTGAATGGTTACAAGCTCAATTAGATAATAAACCATTTAATATTCCAAAAGACATTGAACTTATTCAAGTATCTAAACAACTTCAAGAACCTCTTAAAATTTGTTATCAATCATTATGTGAAAATAAACTTGATCTAATTGCTAATGGTTTATTACTTGATATATTACGTCGTTTAGCTTGTTTTGGTGTAACATTATCAAAATTAGATCTACGACAAGAATCTGCACGACATACAGAAGCTCTTGAAGAAATTATATCATGTATTCTACCACATGATAATAAATATTCAGAATGGAATGAAGAAAAAAAACAAGAATTTTTACTTGATGAACTTGTTTCAAAACGACCATTAATATCTCATCGGCATCAATGGTCAGCTGATACTCAAGAAGTTTTAGATACATTTGAAATTATTGGTCGAAAGAATAATGAAGAAGCATTAGGCTCTTATATTATATCAATGGCTAAACAGCCATCAGATGTATTAGCAGTAGCATTATTTATGAAAGAAATGGCAAATGGAAAGACATTACCGGTGAGATCTTTTTTTGAATTGATTAGTTTCTTAAAATGAAATATTAAAGATTGTTCCATTATTTGAAAGATTGAATGATTTGGATCGTTCCAATGATATTATTGATAGATTATTGTCAATGAAAGTTTATCGAGATCTTATTGATAACAAACAAGAAGTTATGATTGGATATTCGGATTCGGCTAAAGACGCAGGGTATACACATTAGTTTTTTATTAATTCATATTTTCAAAATTTATTTATCTAATATTTAATTATTTTATTTTGCATTGATTTTTATTATTTAAAAATTTTTTTTTCTGTTATTAATTTAAGTCAATTAGCAGCTGCATGGGCTCAATATCGAGCTCAAGATCGGTTGTTAGAAGTATGTCAAAAGCATGGTGTTGCATTAACATTATTTCATGGTCGAGGTGGTACTATTGGTAGAGGTGGTGGTCCAGCTTATGCAGGTAAGATTATTTCGTTTTCTTATAATTCAAAATTACAATTAGAAAAAAAAGCCAATTTCAAAACATGATTTATTATTAAAATATATCTATCGACAAATATGAATATTTTTCTAGCTATTTTATCTCAACCACCCGGATCCATTAACAACAGTATTCGTGTAACTGAACAAGGTGAAATGATACGATTTAAATTTGGTCTACCTGGTTTAGCAGTTTTATCAATGGAAATTTATGCTTGTGCAATTTTAGAAGCTACACTTCTTCCTATACCAAAACCAAAAGATAGTTGGTGTAAAGAAATGAATAAATTAGCTGATCGAGCACATCGTACTTATAATTTAATTGTTCGTGAAAATCCAGATTTTGTACCATATTTTCAAAGAATAACACCATTAAATGCACTTTCACAACTTCGACTTGGTTCTCGGCCAACAAAACGAAAACAAGACGGTGGTGTTGAAACATTACGAGCTATTCCATGGATTTTTGCATGGAGGTAAGTGATTTTTTATTTTTTTGATATATTCCAGATACTTTAATGAAAATCGTAGATAATTTTATTAATTTTTTTATATTGGAAAACATTGTTTAAATCAAACAATGATATGATTTATAAAATTTCATAAACTTATGTGCTATGCTGTGTGTAGAAAATTACTTTTAAGCTGAGGTTTGTAGATATACGCTATACTATTGGTGTATCATGTGAATGAAAATATCTAATAATTAATTTATTGATTATTGCTTTAATCATGTTTTTTTCTAATACGAATTATTATTAGTTAGGCCCTTTTTTTTCTAGTCAAATTCGACTTATGTTACCATCATGGTTGGGTACAGATGATGCATTTGAAGAATTTCTTAAAGAAAATCCTAATGGTCTAAATCGTTTACGTGAAATGATTAAATCATGGCCATTTTTTCGAATGTATATAGAGATGCTTGAAATGGTTCTTGCAAAATCTGATGTTGATATAACAGCCTATTATGAATATCGACTTCTTGAACCAAATTCATCAATGCAAAAATTAAGTGAATCTTTACGTCAAAGACTTGATCATTTACGTGAACTTGTTCTTCGTATAACTGATCAAAAAGAACTATTAGAAGATGTACCAAGACTTGCTCGTACAATTGCTTTACGTAATCCATATATTGAACCATTACATAGATTACAAGCTGAATTAATGCAACGAAATCGAGATAAAAAACAAGAAGATATACCAGCCGATATATCAAGAGCTATGATGACTACTATGGCTGGTATTGCTGCAGGTCTTAGAAATACAGGATAAATTTTATTTTTTTATTTTATGGTTTTTATTTTTTAAAGATTTTATAGAGAATTATAGTATAGATTAAAAATATTTTTATTCATATAATCATATTATATTGCTGATTATTTATTGAAAATAAAAAACAAAAACTTTTTTTCTAGATCAAACTTTTGTTTATTTTTTTCAAAACGAAACCAATGAATATGATTTGAATTCATATATATAAGTATTAAATTATAATACTTTCAATAATTGTCTCACTGACATTCAAAATAATATCTAACAGAAAAGAAAAAAAAACACTCGACATAGAAGTCAAAGATTACAACATCATTGTAACACAAACGATGGACTTTTTATTATTCATTGGAACCAATATATTAACAGCAAAAAAATATAAAACTGTAAAATCGTAATTTATTAATATGCCTTGTTTGCTTAGAAATACAAGTTATAAATATATTTTTGTTTCAAATTAATTCTTTTAATATCAATAGATTTTATTTGAAACACATTTGATTTATGAGTACACGACTGTCATGAAAGTACAAAGTACGCTTACAAGTGCAACACAGATTGTAACTATATTATACGTAAATAAGTTTTTTTTTCGTGATAAAGAACTAACACCTATTGAAAACGATAAAACATATATAGTTAGTCTCTTGAAAAGCCTAAATATATATGCAGCCTTTGTACGCTAAACTTAGTTATAATATAAAATGCAAAAAAATAAAAATACGTTTCCATATTGAATAGACAAATACGATTTTTACAGATAACGATAGACAAATACTCGTCATTTAAATTGGCTTATGTCTGACTTGTTGTATCACTACCTTCTTGTATTTTTTTTCTTTTTCTCTCTCGTTCTTTTTCTTTTGGCATATTACATAGCTTTGTCATTCGTAATTTTCTTTTACTAGATAATATTCATGATGCCTTCTACTGAAGACAAAAACAATACGTCAGTTATTTATCGTTCTGTTAAAAACCATGAACAACAACAAGCTATCGATCTTTGGTATAAAGTACATAAGGTTCAACCAGGATTTTTCGAACGTTATTTTAACAAAGAAACATCACCTTATTATCAAGAAGGTGATACTTTAGGTGCTTGGATTGATGGACAATTAGTTAGTGCAATACATATTCGACGTCTTTATATTCGATCTCGTGATGATAATACCGAATATTTATGTGGTGCTATATCTAATGTTGCAACATTAGAAGAACATCGAAGACATGGATATTCACGTCATCTGTTACAAATGTCTATTACAGAAATGGAACAAAATGAATTTGATATTTCAGTTTTAGGTACTGGACAACCTAATCATTATTCAGTTCTTGGATGGGAACAAATCCTTTTACCATCTCCAATTAGTATCGAATGGAGTCATTTTAGTTCATCTGGAGATAATCATCACTGGTATTCAACAAATGATATACTCTCATCAAATTGTCAATTATTACTTGATATTCATTCAAATAAGCCTCGTACTTATCAATTTAATCGATCACCAGTAACAATGTTTCAAGGTTGGACTGGATGGAATTGGAAAAAAGAAAATTCTATTGCATATTTATTACACGATGTTCAACAAGGTTATATTGTTATTAGTAATCTAGATAATGTCAATGATATTTATATATCAGAATGGCGTGCATCAAATGTAGATGTTGAAAGAAAATTATTTAAATTAGCAGCTAATGAAATTCGACGACGACAACCACAAATTAAAATAATTCGTTTTCATACTGTACCACAATATATGAGTTTAGAAGAATTAGACCTATGGGCTGGTACAGTAACTATTAGTAAAAATGATCATACTATGATTCGTAATATTCGATTATCAAATGAAATTTTAGAAAAAATAAAAGCTGCTTATTTAAGTGGTCATGCAACTTTTTGGCCAGGTGATTATTTTTAAAAAAGAAAACTAAAACTGAATAGTTCAACTTTTATCTTTTTTAATAGTTGTAAAATCTATACGAAATGTTTGCATATTTTTCTATAATTACTTAACAATATAGAATTAAATCATACGTATATTTAATCTAAGTAGTATGATTATGTTTGTGATTTTGCTAATCCTTCTGATGAACATTATCTTGGCTTTATCTATGGTTAAGAAATTAACAATAACTAAGATATAGAGTGGACCACAAATAGCACTATGATAAAAAGAAAATTGAAATATCTCTGCTTCGGTTCGTTCAAACGAGCTGATTTTGTTTTATTAATGGTAGAAGTTTATTTAAAGTTTTCTTTTTTTTTCTTCATACGGATAATGTAAGTTATATTTTTTGGTCCCACTAAACAAATTTCATCTGCTGTCCAATAAGAAAAATACATATGAAGCGTTTCATAGATAATATTCAGGTGTCATCGAGGAGAATGATAAAAAAAAGTCAAAATGAATTTTAGGAATGATACTAAAGTCCTCAACATATTAGAAGATTCAAGGTCTTATATTGATTCGTTCAACTAATGTCAAAAGATATGTATTTATGATAGTTCTGATGTTTGATATTACTAGCATGAAATACTAAAACATAAATAATCGATTACTGAAACGAAGATGGCAATATCAGCCAATTGGTAAAGTATCGTGAGAGTATGGATGTAAGCGTGAGTAAGTGTGTTCTTTTCACTCACACCTGCATTCAGACCTATACGCCCATGCATACCTACATCCTCACTCCCGAGAAAAAAAGATATAAAGCATATGCATGATTCAAGTTAACTATTTTCATTAAAGTTCTTCGTGTTTTACAATATTGCTCATCGAAAAACACTTTTTTTTTTCTTATGAATATAAATTCTAGAAATGAAATAAACATATTGAGTCCTTTATCATCAACAACATAATAATTTATATTGTTTCGATGTTTGAATGAGTCAGCATATTTATCTTTCGACATTTTGTCTTTTTGATCAAAGTAGGATTTACTTTTCCATTAAGTTTCTAAAAAGAAATCATATTTTTTGATAATCTCGCCAACAATTCTTAGTGTCAATTCATTTTTGCTAAATACATTGTTAGTAAAAGAGTTTATTTCATTTCTTTCACACACGTAGAATGAGAATGAAACAGATAAGATTCTGAGAGAAAAAAAAGAAGAAAATCTTTTGTAACAAGAATGTTCTTAGAACAATACAGGCAACATATTCTAACATCTTAGTACAATGTTTAATGGCACTCGTTTTTTTTCTAAAGAATAAGATCTGTCACTGGCAGCATTTAATCTTCTCAATAACTAAATAACTGGAAAAAAAAGAAAATTAAATTTTTGCTTATGTTGAGATTTGAATAGTTTAGATGAAATTCGTTCACAACGAAATGTGCCATTAGCATAGTTATTAGTCCCAAGTTAGCTTCAATGAGTATGATTGTCCACAAACAAATAGTTTAAAGAGAAAAAGCAGTTGAATATACATTCGGTGTTTTTTTTGTGTGTATTTCGAAAAATGCTTTCCCAGATCGAACGATATGGTCCGTATACGGCTCTATTTTAATGATAGTACGGTCCGTATGGGGACCGTATCGTTCGATCTGGGTTTAGATCTTTCGACTAAAAGAAATATGTTCTCAGGCTCTAGAACAAACCTCAACGTGTATACATGAAGATATGTTATCTTCAATTATGACTGCACTGCTTTCTTGATAAAAAATGTTTTTGAATTTCTAGAAGAAAGTACAAAGATGGAGAAGTCTTTTATTTAATACGCAATAGGATTTTATCGATTGTATTCCTTATTTAGAAAGATCTCTTCATGTGTTATTATGCGCATTGTGCCAATTAGGTCCTATGACCATGTGAATGACTTTTTCGTATAGAGAATCTGAAGGACTTTCTTTTCAGATTATGCTACAAAACAATACTGAAATGACTCCACAAGATGTTTCCAATAAAGAAATGTATTTTTCAATGGACTTTGTTTTTCTATCAGCTATTTTGCAAGCTTTTTCTAATTCAGAACTGACATATCGCTATGACGACGGAAATAAAGTATTGCTTATACTGACTGAACTTAGATATTATAATGGACAGAAATATTCAAAGAATCAATAAATTGTAGAAATTGTTTTTAAAAATACGATTCTCAGAAGGAATCTTCTAATTTGTCAAAGGCTTTATATGTATAAACCCAGAGCAAATTTTCAAAAATAATCAGTTTAAATACTGATATTCGTGCTCGATAAATAAAACGCACGATTGCAGTCATTTGAATACCAACTTCCTTGCAAAAACCAGTGTTACACGTTTGAAAATTCGAGATTTTGTAACCATTGACTTTGAAACTTTCTTGTTCTGAAAATTTTCTGTAGGTGCATCAATATAGTATGATTCATAAAGTCCATTTTGACTTTTTCTTGTTGTTTTAGATGAGAACAGGATATTATCTATGAAATGTTGCACATATATTTTTTGTCACATGATAACAGATAAAAACTGCTGTTATGACATCAATAATAATACGTAATAGTAGTATTTACTTACCTTGTTCGTATGAAAAAAAGAAACTTTGAATAAACTTCTAACACTGATCAAAAGAATCATCCCATATGAATGAACCGATACAGAAATATTTCAGTTGGTTTTTTTTACCGTAATGCTATCTATGCCTCATCCTGTATATATTTTGAAGGAAAAACAATTGTTCTACAGGATAGGATTGATGATATTCTTATGTGAAATATTCAAAAGTCTTTGAATCATTTACATGAATCTGTTAGTGCAATACAATCAACAATAAAGATATTACTTCCAAAAAAAGATGGACGTCAGAAAAATTTTGAAATCACTCGACAGTTATTATTAATCAGAAATATATTTAATAGAGCTAAAATTAATGAACAACAACGAAGAGTATGCACAACATGTCTATTACGAATTTGAAGATAAATCATTATAATAAAAGAGCAGTTCAATGAAAATGGGAAAACCATAAGTAGGCATCAATGAATAATACAATAGAAGAAATTCAAAAATGAATTACTATTGAGAATCGTTTAATCAACAATGAAAATAGTACGGAGTACACTCAATACAATAGTTGTGAACTGATCTAAATATAACAATAATAATAAAAAAATGTTCCAATGTTTATCAAACCATTATTCTATGCATGATGATGTAAATATTCTCTTGAATATAAAAACGGCCAATCAAATTCCTTAGTTAAAATCTATTTATTCAATTAAGCAACTAAAGGGTGTTGATGGTAAGGTTTTTAAAGATATTGAAAAATGTTTAAGATTCTACAAAAAAAGGTCTTTATATGTGGAAGACCGAAAATTCGATCCGATCACAATTTTACCTCATTAATCTCCATAAAAAAACCCATATTTCTATAAATAATTAATAGATTGTCTAGTGCTCAGATACAGTTATACCGTTCTGCGGATTACTACGCAGTACACTGACTGTTCGTAAAGATACAACTTTTCTATGAAGATTCATGGTGGGAACTGGGACTGAAGCTTCTAATGGATGTTGAGCGCAGATCGAAAGTATCATGAGAAGATAAAGTCTAAGCCGGAATTCCTGTAATCACTACAAAAATTGATATGCAAGATGATTGGGATGCCAATTATCAACCTTGAGAAACTTTCATTTTTGTTCAAGTTACTCTGCACTTCGTTATGTCGTCAACCTTTTATATGATGATTTTCATCGATAATTGGTCCAATCTAATCGTTTACTTCAGCTTTGAATCATTTTGGATTTGTACCGTGGATAAAATCTTATTCAACACTTCATTGAAATTTTGAGAAGCATTAATTATCCTGAATTTAGATTATGTCATACATCTTCATATATTTGATAAATATATTAACATTTTTTCAGACACTCATTCCATGAAGTCGCTTTTGACTTAGTCTTATGACTACTCAATTCTCTAGCATCAAAACTTTCCAGAAATGATACTATATTTGTAATTAAAATTATCGAAAATAGTACCTTCTAATTTGTCATAATAGCTAGACTAGAGTTCGTAAAATAAAAAACAAATCGAAAATAACAATATCATTTAACATTGTCCAATTTATATATTCAAAGATTGCATGCTATGAATAATATCATATTAATAGTTTTAACATTGCTTCATTGTATCCAGTTAGATACGAACAATGAGACGACTGATACTACATCCTTGACAAATAACAATAATGAAAAGCTAGAACACAAAAGTTAATGTATTTGCTTCGATCTACAATGATTATAGATATTCTTCGTTTTAGATACATCATGGATGAAGTTAATTATACATAAATTGAACATTGGTCGACTTTCAAACGATCCAATAACAAATTAAAAAATGTACTGTTTATCAATCATCTATTGTAGATGCAGAAAGTTTAGATTCAAATAATGATTAAATATTATTTAAACCAGCTGATTTACATTTTATTATTATGCCTTAAAAATTTCTTCAATCTTTATTAAATACAATTAAACTATCAAATACGAAGACCTATTCAATAAATTAATGTTTATTTTTTTTCTTTTTAACTTACATATTAAATTAGTCTTCTTATGATGATTTGTTTCATTCATATCACAAAAAATAAAAACGGAAGTCTATCAAATGATAAGACATATCCAGATGTGTATATATATCTTTTCAACCGGTATCAGTCTACGTCTATTTGTAAGCAATTGTTTTTTTCTTTATCAAATAGTGAATAGAGATTATACATATATATACAAACGAACAATCGTAAAAAGAAATTCATTCGTCCGTATACTAACATCTAATATAAGCTATTACAGGTTTCATCTCCTTTTTTTCCTGTTGCTTGTATCTTTTCTTTGCAACCATACATATACACATGTGCAATTTCGTGCTTGAACTAACCCGTACAAATATACATATAAGAAGCAAGCACTCGATGATCAACGATATAAAATAATACAGGGT